TCGTTTTTTTATTCATATCGGTGATTGTTTTAATATTTAAATTGTCTGTAATAAATATCTGCGTGTGATAAATCATTTAGAGTACGAGTAAGTAATGTAAATTGGATTTGTTTCAAGGAAGAACACACCTGCGTAAATAGTTTTACTGGAGTGTGACTCCGGCAGATTGCTTTGTAATTATCAACTTCCGAAATATGAGGTTGAGACATGTCAATTGTTATTGCTGTTCAACAAACTCGCTACAAAAATTATTTTCAACCCAATGTAGACTTCACTGACTACACAGTAAACTTGTTTTTGTCAATTATTATACTATCCTCTTTTACCCGAGCTACCTTTACAAAAATCGATAGTTCATGTAGTTACCTTATACAGGGTGAATCTTATTTTAGAACAGTGGTGCAATTTACATTCATTAACAAAATATCAAGGTTTCTTCATGTAGTTGAAATTTCTCATAAAAAACTTTGGAAACATCTATGAAATCAGTCGGTTTGAGTTTCAAAAGAGAGAGTAAACGTTTCAGGACGTTGACCTACGAACCCATCAATGGCTTGTTGTTTGAGTGAGACAGAAAAAGACGTAGCTTACAGAACTAAAAATCAGATTACATTATTTGAAAATAATAGATGAAGTATCGGATAGGATAGAATTGACTTAGATTCTTGTACCAACTCGATATTGGCCAAACGGATCATTTTCTTCAAAAGTATGAAAGAACATAAATTAAATTCTTTGAATCAAAGAATCAACTGAACGTTTATCACATTTATAATACTCAGCAATGAGTATATTAAAAAAATCAGAACCTTTGCACAATGCCCAAAGAGAATTAAATAGTTCGACTTCAATAAATTTGTTTTCTAATAATGAAAGTGGTATTAGTTGAAGATTTTATGAATGGTTTAATGGAATTCATACAATAAACTATATTAATTACTTTTTTAATATAATATGGATTTTCATCAAGTATTGGCCAGTTCTATTTAATTATTTCGATTCTGTAAATGCTATCGACTTAACAAGAATGGTGACTTGATCTATATCGATTCCATGATTCAATTTGGAACAGTTTTGAGCTCTTTTCTTCGTGAAGTGAGCCGTCTTAGAGACACGTAGGATTCCAATAATCATTTTTCCAAAAATGTAAACCAGACGTTCATAAAATTATACATATTGTTTTACTCCATAAAATACTTGAGGATTTTCCTGCAGTGCTTGTGTTTTGTTTAAAAAAAATATGTTTCAGTGCGACAAGTTTTGATCAACTTACAGTGGCTTACAGCTGTATACTCAAATTTTTTGTGTCAGATTTCTTCATATTTTGGATTATCTTTTCAGTTTCGTTTAAATAATATATAATTTTTGAATTAAATAACCAAAAGGATAATTTGTTGGGATATTTTGGGAAAAAAGATATTGCACATGAATTATTCGTATGTAAAACTATGAAAATGAGTCAAATACATCATATTGGAATTCAAAAATAGAGAAGAAATTTACTTAAAATATCGATATATTCTCAATGAAACCCCAAAGATCATCTTAGTCATTCGCAAATTATTCGAAATAAGTATTTTTTCCATTTTAATTATATATGATTGTGTCCCCAATTGTGTTCTCTAAGTATTTTGTTTAACATCGATACTGAAAAAAAGGATGACTTTTGAATCAGAGCTTTACTTCATTTGTATTTCTGCAAAATTAACTATTACTTATTCTTCATCCAAAAGATTAATTTTCAAAATAAACTTCTCCAACAAAATCATTTCTTGAGAAAAAAAGCATAGATTATCACTAATTCAACACACGGGGATGCAAATTGTTTTATTATAAGCCATATTTTATCTAGAATGATTTATTCAATGAATTACTTGATTTTTGAGTTATTCGCGATAGCATACCAAATATTTTTTCCATTTTACACGTCTGTTGTTTTCTGCAAGCATCTATGAGCTTGACGTGCTTATTGCCCTTCTAAAAAAATCACAACAGATAACAAGTCCAAGAAGAGACGTAAAGCGTGGTAAATATTTTCGAAGAGAACTTTGCTTGAGAGAAATTTGATCTAAAGTGAAATGAATGAGACTAAAATGAAGAAAACGAATTTCTAAGAATTTTTAATTCAAAATATGAAAGTTGTTCAAACTGTATTTTGAGCATCAGGCAACGTAATACTTCAAAAATAATCCAATCATTTTTACCTGTCGCCTGCGGTCAAAAATTGTATGATAACCAATTTTTCCGAGTCCGAAACACGAATTCGCTCGTTCAATAATAATTTCTTATCTTGAAGCATGACCTTTTCACTTTCTCAAAATTAAATCGTTGCCAATTTCGAGTCGAACGAAAGGTGGACTCGAAGAGAAGCTCATCCATCATCATGTCTAGTTAGCGCGTCACATGGACGTTAAAAATAACATTTTATTTCTGAATGGATTGTTTGTGGTCCCTCCTAATGACATTTATCATTAATAGAACTGTTTTTGTGGCTCGGACCATTAGAAAATGGATATTATTTATGTCAGATGACACCGGTTGATAGTGTGTCTTCGTTTGTTTGTTTTTAGAAACTTAAGGAGGATTGTTTCTCGTTATGATAGCTATTTCGATGCGGAACAGGCTGGCAGGTGGAAAGGGGGAGTTTTGCCAACGATTTCAAGCTACTAAGTGAGATGTATTTTTTTATTTCTTCAGTGGTCAATGTAGATTTGTGAACATACCAGTTCCGCTGCAGTTTTACCAAAATATTCAACTAACAAATTTCAAATTCTAGCGAAAAACTCCAACAAACAAGTAACCTTCTTCCACAGACCTGGAAACAGATAACAATACGTCATGTCCAATGCACAAACTCCACAATTACTAATTTATCAAACTTCATAATAATAATAATATATTTATTGCCGTGGGTTTCCTATGAAACACCAGCAACGTCAAATACAAAATTACAATTTACAAACACGCATATAAATAAATAAGTAAATACTAAAAATAATATCAAAATTACAAGTAAATGTAAAAATATTTATCATCACTTAGAGTACGTTCAATTGTGGCTGTTACAAAAATAGAAGAAAGTATGCATATTCAACCCATACATTACACTTTACAGACATTGTAAAATTCGTCAAGTGAATATAGGGGATTTTTAGTCATATAGTGCAAAGTTCGTTGGAAAATACCCATGGTATTGATTTCTTTGAAATGTGGAGGCAGTGCATTATATATTTGCGTAGATGCTTACTTCCTCTTGCTACAATATTGCAAATGTATTAATTATTTGCCGGAAATTTGTGCAGGTATTTTTAGCGAATATTACGAAATTATATATCTAGGCACAATGATCAGTCATAATTCCTAGATTAGAAAATAATTGTCCACAAGAGGTATCATTTTTGAGGTTAAATTTGTTTTTTTTCTGATAGAAGAATATATTCTTGGATGTTGGTGCATGACACCAAAATATTACGCTATAATCAATCACCGAATGGGCATAAGCGAAATGAAACATTTTGATATTGTTAATACTTATGTGATCCCTGAGGTATCTTATGACACAACAAGCTGACGTTAATTTACCCATTACTGCTTTTACTTGATCAGTCCAACGCAATTCTATATCTATCATAATCCCTAAAAATTTGGAGGAAAATGTTTCAACTATTTCGTCTATATTGATATGTAGTGGGGCTTCCGTACTGTTTCTGAAATGTATATAATTGGTTTTATTTTCATTGATTAAGAGACAGTTCTTTTACACTACTCAACAACTCGAGACACTGTTACATTAGATGTTTCATTCAGAGAATTAATATCCCTCTGACACAACAGCTGAGATGTCGTTAGCGAACAGAAAAACTGAGCTGATGTCTATTTGAGGACTTATGTCGTTGATAAATATCAAGAAAATAATTGGACCGAGTATGGAGCCCTGAGGCACTCCTATGACAGTTTATACTTTTTCGGAGTAGGATACCGAAGATTTGAAATTATTTTTAGATGAGATACCGACTATTTGTGTTCGGTTGCTGAGGTGAGATTTTATTAGATCATTGGCTTTTCCTCTAACACCATACCGCTCTAGTTTTAGCATTAGTAGCTCATGATTAATGAGGTCAAAGCTTTCGTTAGGTCAAAATAAATTGCAGTCACTTTATTGCTTTTATCGAGTTGCTTTTATATGGTTGAGTGAATCATAAATTGCAGATTTGGTGGATCTATTAGGGAGGAAACCGTACTGATTCATTACAAATATATAATTTTCAATAAAATACGACAATAGCTTATTGTAAATGAGGCGTTCAATTATTTTCAAATAAGCTGACAGAATAGAAATTGGTCTATAGTTTGATATTTCATTTTTTTCTCCTTTCTGCAAACTGGCACAATTTTGGCAATTTTCAATGCATCAAGAAATATTCCAGTAGAGAAGCATTTATTTATTATATCTGCTAGTGGATGACAAAATTAGGATCCCTACACGTTTAACTATAACAGTCGGTATCTCATCAACACCAACTGATATTATTGATAGCAAAGCGACGTCACGAATTATTCCTAACCATTCCTGCAGAAGATCCTCACAAGATCATATTGAGATATCATTTTGAGTTCAGTGACACAATATATAACAACAAAAAATGCCTTTCAATGGGTAATCCTTCAAGCTCCCCCTTCGCTGAATATTCCATGGGCAATTTTGAGGAAAACTCTTCAGCATCTTCCAGTTTTCCAAGAATTTATCAACTGGTAAAGGTATGTTGACGATGGTCCAGCGTGCCCCACAGGAACAAAGTTCTCGTACCGCTTACAATTTAATACACAAAAGTTATACTGAAAAACACGTTTTGCAATTTTGTAAACTGTTGTGTAAAAATCACAGAATAATGACTTGTTCAACTGACATTGAAATTTCCAAATTTTTTATTTTAATGTATCAGCTTGAGTAACTAGATATTTTGTGTTCTGAAATGTAATCGTTTTTTTTTTAAATAATTCCATTTCTGTTCTGTTTCATGTTTCCTCTTCAACATCTGGAACCGTTCTGACAAAACGGAATATCAAGGCCGTAAGTACTCATTTCATTATTTTATTTTTTTTTGTTTCTGCATTTGAATCTTTTATCATTTTTATATTCTGTCAATTTTTGAAAGTTTTGGTGTAATTATTTCGAATTACGGTAAAGTTTTATTCCATTTAAACGCCATTGTAACCCACTGAAATAATTTCAGTATGCGAGACATTTTTATGGAGGAATCTTTACCTTTTCCGGGACTTGGGATAAAAAGAGCAAACTTCAAATCAATCATGAATTCAATGTGTTTTTCTCAAAGAAAACTGTTCTGTACATCAGTTGCTATAGGGACATATCTTGACTTTTCGAAGTCCTAAATCTGACTCTGTCTTTTTAATTAAAAATCAGCCATATTTCGCAGTCCCTTTTTGAAAGTGCGCGAAAACTAACAGCGAGATTACATCAGAAATATACACATCGGAAAAGTCTAGGGATATTTTTATAACATACTAAATATGATAAAAATAAATGCATGAGGTCGTTTAATTTCGATTAAATTGGTACACTCGACCACCCTGTAGATTTCTATGGGTTGAACAAAGCCTGCAAAAACGGTAACTAATCTTTTATCAAGTTTTTTACAAACTGTAGGTTTTCGGCTAAAATGAATAATCTGAAAGTGTCGAGTTTGTACATTCTATGCAGTTCTTGCTCAGCAATTAAACTGGAAATATTGTGCTTTAACATGGAACGCCATCACTTACCATTGGCTGAGATGAATAGAGCTGTAGAGCTTCTTCAAGGTGGCATGCGACAAAATGATGTAGCTCTTCGTTTGGGGGTCTCCCAAAGTGTTATCAGTCGATTGTGGCGGCGATTCCGTGAAACTGGCAGTCCAGCCGAACAACATCCAGGGCGAGGACGCGCTACAACTGCAGTTCAAGACCGATTTTTGGTCTTAACCGCAAGAAGACAACCGACAATCACAGCACCTGAGTTGGTTAACGTGTTGCATCAGACGCACCAGGTAACCATTGGTCGTGATACTGTCAGAAATCGACTGCATGAAGCAGATCTCCACAACAGAAGGCCACTTAGATGTCCACCTTTGCCGAGAGGCAATCGCGGTAGAAGATTAGAGTGGTGTCAAGAACATCAAAACTGGGATGCAAATGATTGGGCCACAGTTTTGTTTACAGACGAATCCAGATTTGGATTTCATCCAGATTCTCGTCGAGTAAGACTGTGGAGACGACCTGGAAATAATGAACGTTTGAGACACGTCCAGGAAGTCCACACATACAGAGGTGGTACAGTAATGCTATGGGGCGGAATCATGATCGGCGGCAGAACCGATCTCGTTTTTCCAAATCGCTCCCTCACAGCTCGACAGTACCTCGACACCATTCTTCTACCTATCGTCCGTCCGTTTGCTGGTGCTGTTGGTGAAAACTTCCACCTAATGCACGATAATGCTCGTCCACATGTCGCGCGTCTAGTGACTGACTGGCTCACCAACGAAGGAGTTGATGTATTGCCATGGCCAGCACAATCACCGGACCTGAATCCCATCGAGCATGTGTGGGACATGCTTCAACGAAGAATTACTCCGTATATGGGGAACATTCACACAACGTTTCAATTGAGAGAGCTTTTAATCGCTGAATGTGCAAATGTACCTCAACAAGACATTTACAATCTCATTTTGTCGATGCACGATAGATGTAGGGCCATTATAAACCAGCGTGGAGGCCATACTTTGTACTGATTTCAATTTTTTTTGTATTATGATTTTTTTCGGGGTGCCAAAGAAGAGCCATATTTTTTTTAGTTTTGCTTATATGCGCACTCAGTATTTTTGACCATTTAATAAATTCTGTTGTAAGTTACATTCGTTTAATAATCACCCGTCAACTTTTTTTCCCTAAAGCGATCTAAAAAAAAATATTGTCATTTTTAAAAATATCCCTAGACTTTTCCGATGTGTATAGAATATTCATCAGAATAGAATAGAATACAACTGATCATTAATGAATATCACTTTGAGAGGCCAAAACTCTAAATATACATTCTTATATCTGGTGAAAACTACATTTCAAACGGTTTGCTTTGAAGATAGATCGTACTTGGCTTCCCATCTTGAAAAATATGTGGAAAATCTCAACAAACTGATGTCACAGAATACCTTATCTGTTGAAGAAATTTGAAAATGAGGAAACTCACAAAAAAGAAATGAGAAATATTGCAATTTTTCAATCCTTTGAAATAATTAAATACGACAAATTACTGATAAACATATTTTTTTGAAAAATATTCAATTTACGTTAACAAGGAGTTTCCTTTTTCTACAACTGTATAAATAAATCCATGTCAAATTTTCAGTTTTTCAGATTGTGGAGATTGAGCCCCAGAAAAGGGCAATAAAACGATATAATTATTTCATATTCGACTTTAAAGTTTTTCAAAAACTAAGAGAAACTAATTCTCTATCCTGCCAATAATTATATGTAATGTAATAAAAATTCTACCAAAAAACAATTCAACATTTTTTTTGTTTCTTTCACAAAGGTAACCCCTTACTTTCAACCCTTTTATTGTGCCCTTCGACGCAAGACAACATAATAAATGCATTTCGACGAAGAAAAAGAGTCGAAACAATAAACCATTTTGACGTTAGTCCTTTTTAATGTCGGTACCTGCATAAAAATGCCGTCGTCCTCACAAAGTAAAACGTTTAAATATTTCATTTTTATTCTTTATCGCGCATACTTGCGTCCTGGACATTGTCATGACAACTGCGATACGAAAAACGTATTATGGCTTGTAGTGAAATTATTACAAAGGCGCCAAACATCGGACTCCACATTAGTGCTGTGGAAATTTAATTTACGTGGTGCGAAACAGGGCCGGACTTGGACGATGGAAAACATATGGCGGCTAATACTCTGCTTGTCGATCATCTGATTAAAACTCAATATTTTGATCTATTGTCTCAATGTTAACAGGGAAGGTACATAACTTTTTTTGGCAATTATGTGTCTTCAATATCCTGAAATCAAAAACCGTTTTAAAATAAATCGAATTAGAAGGGAAAATCACCAAATTTACCCAAAAATGTAACGGCGTTTGAATAAAATTTCAGAATGGATCTATCCTTGTCATCAGTAACACTTTCTTATGAAGTTTGCCTGAGTACTTCAAAAAACAAAAGATATATGAATTGAAAATTGAAATATCCTTCTTCTGGGAATCAACTCTGTCGCTTTTTCGAATCCTCTCAGGATACACTCAAAAATGGTACGAAATGTATGTGCATCAAATGCAAGATCTTTTGAAATTTAAGTTTTCAAGGTTCAGTATCATTTCTTCGATTTATATATTCATATAAAACAATTTTCACGTATATAAAAATTAATTTCAGAATTATGTTTTGTTACAAAGTATGATGGGCGACTGCTGATTTTTCAGGTCTTCCATATTTTAAATGTGCTATGTGTTTCTTGTATCTTACTTTAACAGATCTTTTTGTCTGTCCATAATATTTTGCATCGCAGTCCTTATATTCAATTTCGTAAATTCCAGACTTTTCCGAATTCTCGACTTTGTCTTTTGGACTTCCTAAAAGGCTCTGTAGTGTATGAATTGTTTTAAAAATCACAATAGTTTCTAGTTTTAATCTTCCTCTTTGAAGATGATCACCAAGTGATCACCAAGTGATCATCTTCAAAGATTTGGTATTGGGAAAAAACTCCAGTAATATCCATTCGTGGAAAATTCAAGATCCATTCATTTTATTTCTTTCGATGTATACGAACCATAAAATATTTCAGATATACAATGTTATACAAACTCAAATTTTGTGTCTTTATTCATCGGACAAGAAACAAATTGAGATGTTCAATTCTGAGTTTTGATATAAATGGTGATCATCGTTCAACTTTTCAACAAGTCATTCAAAAAATCTAATGGTTGCAAATATCAGATCAAATACTAGATAGTTAACTCTAACCATCGAAATATACTTCTACGGACTATCTGTTTGTGGGATAGATCATTTTGAGTGAAGCGAATTTTGTTAGTATGAATGAAATAGATAAAAATGAATTTCGTGAGCTAATAAAGCATTGCTTTTTGTTGAAAAAAATACTGTTGAAGGCTAAGCTAGACTTGATAAACATACATAAAAATCAACCGCTTAGAAGTGGTTTGCAGGGTTCAAACGAGGAACCAATGACGAGGCTCCCAGTATACAAAAACATCGAAAAAGTCCACAAAATAATTTTGGATGACCGCAAATTGTTACTGAAGCGTTTGAAGGGCGAAATCATTAAAAAAAATGTACTGTTTCATCAAGACAAAAAATATCAGTAGAACAAAATTCAGAAAAATCTTCCGTTTGGAACTATTCTATTGATATCAGTAAATTACATTATTCAAACATTTTTATTAAAGCGAATTAGTGAAAGTTTGTTCCATTCTCTTCTTTAGTGTTCCTTTTTCTGTATTATAAAAGTTCCATAGGAAAATGAATCGTTATCACCATTACTACCATCTCACAATTCTTCAGTAAACACCAAATCCTATACTCCGTATCTGTCCTCCGAGAAAAATTCATCCCACGAACACCTCGTTCCCTCTCTCTTCCCGAGACTACCAGAAAGAAACGACCGATCGCAGCTACAAAATTTTTTCGTTCGAATGTGGGTTAGTTTTCGTTCGTCTGTCCGAATTGGAATTGTCATCATGCCGAGATCTGATAAGGAGTAGCTTTTAGGGGGGCTGCCGCGCGACGGGGGGCTGCTGCGCCTGCGGGGAGTCCTAAAACAAACAGCGTGTCCCACCGTTATGACTCTACGTAAAGGATTTCCTACTGGGCACTTACTTTATTCTGATTTTTTTTCGTTTTCTCGTCGACCGTTGAATATGCATATCGTCTGCGTTGGTATATGTATGCGTGGTGACGACTCGCATGTTCTGAGTGGTAATGAAGCTTGTTTCACTTCCTCTTCTTGTAGTTATTTCGCAGAACAAAACTGAAACAAATTTGAAATTCT